ACTAATGCCATTCTAGCATGAAAAATTCAGAGATGTCTGAGAATTTGCAAAATTGTCCCAAATTCTGTGAGCACTTGGGCACTTAACTACACACGTAACATATTCATTGAGCATCTACTTCTATGTAGAACAGGAAGTCACTGTTCTAGGGACTGGGGAACACAGTGACGGACAAGATACAGTCAGTAACCTCATTGAACTTATTCGAATGAGGAACACATAAACTATACAATAGAATAGGGAAGACGTCTCTAAGAAGGTGACATTTTTATCAGAGATCTTCATGATGGGAAAGTGAGCCATGCAAATATCTGGGGGGGAAAAAACAAGAGAAAGAACATCAGGAAGAGACGGAATAAATAGCAAACGCCTTGAAGGGGGAAGAGGGTTGATATGCCTGAGAAATAGCAAGAAGGACACTACTGCTAGAGGGAAAAAGTAGTAAGAGATGAAGACAGAGAGATAAAACACACAATGTATATCCCTGAAGAACCTGATAAGGACTTTGGATTTTATTCTGAATGTGAGGAGAAAATACTGAGTTTTAAAAAGATTACTTGGGCAGCAAGAGAAATGACAGCAGGGGAACAGGAGTGAAGGTGGACAGACCAATTAAGAGGCTGCAACTGTCCCAGCAGGAAAAAACAGTGATTTGAACTACGGTGGTGGTGGTGATCCCTTCTGGTATTTGGGAGTCATCAGCGTAAGGATGGTGTTTTAAGTCCTGGGACTAAAGTAATCATTGAGGGAGTGAGGAAACACGGAGGAACGAACTGGCTCTGGGCTGAGCCCTGGAGCACGCCAGTGTTTATAAAGCAGTTTAGAAGACAACCTAGCAAAGGGAAAGCATCTTCATTTTACCAGCACATACGAAATATATTTTGTGTTCAGGCTTACCTAGTTTCTTTTTCTAAGCCACAGAGGAATCCAAGTGGTTCAGAATTTGTTTATACACAGTCATATTTTTGACTGCATGAAAATAAAAAATATGAGAAATGTGATAGAAATAAAAGATTCCTATTTAAATGAGGCAGAACATCTCAATAAATTAATATGCAATCAAACCTTGCTACACTCAAGTTCAAGTTAATAATTTCTAAAATTAAATTATTTCATCAATCTTGGAGTCTTCAACAAAAAAAGGCTTATAAGCCTAGAACCTGAAAATGCACATAAATTATACAAGGAGTTTTATTGTAATATGATCTGACCTGCATTTGTTTTATTACTTGATACTGGTGACATGTTAGAAACCTATAATCAGGAAGTATAAAAACAACCAGAAAGTCAAACTGACTTACGTGCAAGAACTGAGAAAACAATGAAATAGCTATGATGAGGAAATTAAAATGTTCATTCATTTCTGTTTTAACATCTAAAGCAGGACAAGCAACTAACTTAGTGTCAAAATTAAAGAAACAGAGGTTTTATATTTTAAAAGAGAAAGACTAATGTTTAGTATTTCTTCTCATATACTTTTAAATGCATGTGCCTCTTTTCAAAGGCTTTCAATTTCAATCTTTTTAGCTTTTGGCCTATTTTCACTATTATGTTCTTAAATCAGAGGACAAGGACCCTGAAGCAGGATGAACTGAGTTCAAACTCAAATTCTGGCACTAACAACTATTGCTGATACTTTGAAGTAACTTACTGTACACTCAGAGGCTTAATATATCTTCATCTGAAAGACAGGAACAATATCTACTCCACAGCATTTTGATCAGGATTAAAGGAGACTGTCATGCAGAGCACCTAGCAAATATTTACAGCTTTATAAATGTTAATTCCTTTCCCTATTTTATCTTCCTTCTGTTTGATGTTTTAACAACTATAGCATTTACATGTTTATTAAAGTCACCTTTTGAGTGCTTCTCAAAGAAAATGGGAGACTCTTATCTTGGTTAAAATATGATGATATCATAAACCTACCAGTTTTGATCAGCAGCCTTTTGAAATGCTATAATATTTTACTTTACTGGACTGTAAGATCCTTCAAGGGAAGGACTACCATTCTTTGAAATCCTATTGCCTAGTGGACCAGTAATATTTATAATGTGGAAAACATATTATACAACAATATTAAAAAGCGTTAGGGGGCTTCCCTGGTGGCGCAGTGGTTGAGAGTCCACCTGCCGATGCAGGGGACACGGGTTCATGCCCTGGTCCGGGAAGATCCCACATGCCGCGGAGCGGCTGGGCCCGTGAGCCATGGCCGCATCGCCTGCGCATCGCCTGTGCTCCGCAACGGGAGAGGCCACAACAGTGAGAGGCCCGCGTACCGCAAAAAAAAAAAAAAAAAAAAAAAAAGGCATTAGGCATACTTGGTATCAAAAATATCCCAGGAGCTATTTATATTTTTTGCTTTGGAATCAAGAATTGAATAATCATGATCTTTTGGTTAATTAAGGTTTATATCTTTTCAACTATTCTTCAAATTAATTTCTATTTGTTTACTGAATAATAAAACAGATTATTAACCACAGCTTTCACAAATAAAGTCTAAGTCTCAAATAAATTTATACTAGAATTACTTAACTCTTTATTATTTTAAATTTGTGTGTATTTTTTTTTCCTGTAATGACAGCTTCACACATACATTATTTCAAGTATGTTTATGTAGGTTATGTTAGAGCCTGCTAAGAAGCTCTCAGTGTCTGGGGTGTACCTGAAAAAGTATTGTCAACACTTCTGCCATACTAGACTTTCAGCATCTCACATATAGACACTATTGGTGGGACCTGAATATCCTCATAGATCCTAAAGGAGTAAAGTGTCATCAGCAAGAAAAAACAGCATTGGTTTGGCTTTCCTCCACAATGTTGCAGGTCATTTGGTCATTTCCATAACTTCTGTAGAATTTACCTCACTGTAAAGCTTAAGTAAACGAAGAACATCCTCTCACAATTAAGGAAATTAGTTCATATAACCCAGTTATCTAAATAACAATTAAGCCTCTATTTCTTTCTATATAGTACAAGACTTGGCTATTCTCACCCTCTTGCAGAATCACAAACATAGCTCCTACAGTTCCTGACCTTAAAGGAAAAAGTGCACTTGTTGGCTGCTGACATGTACGAAAAGGCAAAATTGTTGGCTATGGAAAGGAAAATTCTTTTTTTCTTCAAATAATTAATTATAGCTAAATTATTCTGTTTCCTCCCTCCATGAAATCAATTTAGAATGAAGAACATATTACTTAATGATATTATGTAATTTCACAAGTATACTTGTAAATTACATAGTAATATAGTGGCATCCTAAAATAAAATATACAAAAAAGATTTAAAATAAAGTATATAGCTTTCTGAACATTTTAAAGGAAGGTGCTAAAATTCTAAGCACCTTTATGAAATACTTCATGTTTATAGTTCCAAAATTAGGTTTAGACTTTTAGATTAATCAAAAGTTTTTAATTTCACTTGAGACGTTTCTAATATCCAGTTTCTTCCCTTCTTCATTTTTGTCATTCTAGCATTCATTAGAATCTCCATCAAAAGGTAATAAACAGGAAAAGGAGGAAAAGAACAAATTCATTCACTTTAATGCTTATCAGTCAGCTAAGTTAGAAATTTATTTGTGGAGGTTAAGAAAAAGTAGAGGGAATGCAAAAGATTAAATTGATACAATGATGCTGGTAATTGTCTATTTCATTCATCCACATTAGCAATCTTCTTCAGGCCTGCCTGCAATAATGTCATATGAACACAGATCCTCCACAGCCCACTCTGTTTTCTACCAAAATTCTTTCAATCATCCTACAAACATGTATGGAGGGCTGACTGGGGCCAAGCACTGTTCTAGGTGCTGGTACACAGAAATGAAACAGAAGTCCCTGTCCTTATGGATCCTACTTACGAGTAGGAGGAGATAGCTAATCTCAAGAAGTATAAATATATAGCATGTTAGATAATGCTAAATGCTATGATGGAAAATCAAACAGGGGAACAGGGATATGGAGAATCCAGAGTAGGAGTATAAGCTGAAATTTTTAAATTCAGTGGTCATTTATCTTCATGCAATTCCCTAAAAAAATTTTTTTAATTAAAAAAATCTACACATATATTTTCTAGGCACCAATTTATATTGAGGGATATATTAAAAACACTGGTAGATATGTCTAGGTAGATATAACATAGGTAGATATATCATAATTTTTATTACTGATGTGATCAACTCTCCAATAAAAATACTACAATGATCAAAAAGAAATACTAAAACAGCATTAAAATCTTGAAAAGAAGATTTTTTCATATCCCACCTTGATTAATTTGCTGAATTTTGGGTGGGCAGAACAAACAGCTATTCAATATATAGTACAACTGACTTCAGCTACATTCCAATAGTGGATGAAAAACATTTAGGTAGGGCTTCCCTGGTGGTGCAGTGGTTGGGAGTCTGCCTGCCAGTGCGGGGGACATGGGTTCGGGCCCTGGCCTGGGAGGATCCCACATGCCATGGAGCAGCTGAGCCTGTGCGCCACAACTACTGAAGCCCACGCCCCTGGGGCCCGTGATCCCCAGTAGGAGAGGCCACTGCAATGGGAGGCCTGCGCACCGCAATGAAGAGTGGCCCCCGCTTGCTGCAACCAGAGAGAGCCTGCGCACAGCAACGAAGACCCAGCGCAGCCAAAAATATAAATAAATAAAATAAATAAATTTATTTAAAAAAACAAAAAACATTTAGGTAGGTTCTTATTCCCCCTTTAAAAATTTTTGCTCTAATGGTTAAATACTTCCCAGGCTTGCTGGGCTATCTTGGGTGACATGAAGTTCCTGAGAACTCAGAAGGCTGTCTAGGTTCTGTTATCTAGGCAGGCTTGTCAAATCAAGCTTCTGTCAGTTACGACCACAGCACAAGCAACCTCAGTGACAGACATAACAACTTCAAAGAGAGCCCTAGTGCTCTCAAATTACTCATATTATAACTCCCCCTAGCACTGTATCAAACCAAATATTTTAAACAGTAGGAATATTAGAAATTCTACCCCCAAAAAAGAATACCTCCGTGGTGATGCGACAGGCTCCCTCCATTAGCGAGGATTTCTTCTCTAGCAGCTGCCTGTATTTGGAAACAAAACAACAAATAGATCACTTTGAGGTGAAAGAGTAAGACCCAACTCCCAAAGGAGATACATACTTTCTGGGTTAAATAATAAAGGAGAAGCCTAATTTTCCTTTCTCTTAGGTTAACTGTATTTAAAGAGCAATTAAAATATGCAGCCTAGCTTTATGTTTTTTTCTAGTGAATAGTCGCAGTGTCTACAATTGTTACATCAAGATTCTAGAAAAGAAAAAGAAGGCAAAATGACCAATTCATCAGCACTAAATGATTAATAACAATAAAAAAAAGTTTTGTGAGGAGTCCGGTCCTACTCTGAAGTAAACATCTCACTATACCAACAAACATTAATTGACTGTATATGGTATGTCCAGAAAAGTACTAAGCAATTTACCTGGAACTACCCAGTTATTTTCACTAAAGCCTTATGGAATAATTTCAATTACTCCTATTTCACAGATAAAGAAAATGAGGCTTAGATGGTTAAATTACTCACCTAATATCATACAGTGGGCATAAGACTCAAGATTACTTACAAAGCTATCAGGGATTAATGGTAAAAACCCTTATGGAGAACATTTCTTAGGTCAATGCCTTGGGACAAATTACTTCTCAGGCTTATGGATATCTAAGTGTGAAAAAAAAAACCTTGTTTTATCCTCTTAACATGTTAGGCTCCAACTAGGCTCCTTAAAGAGCAATAAGGTTAGAAAGATAAACACTTAAAGCAATATATAGAATGACTGAAGTACAGGGTGAAAGAAGGGTTACAGAAACTGGAATTACATTCAATTCATGAGTATATAACAGATATGAGGTAAAATCCCTACAGTGCCTTGAACCTCCTAGAATTACCTGGGTGTGTATAAACCATCAGAGTTAGGACACAGTAGAAGAGGCCCTCCCTTAAGGAGGGACAGATGGACCACATCTCATTGCAAAGTAATTTATAAGAACGCTCATCACTGAGGATTTAGGGTTTTTCAAATGAATCATACATATGCTGGCCCTACTCTAAGGGACTATGTCTTCTAACAACTTATTTTATGTAAAGCAATAACTACTTGAAACCAGCAGCACTTAGAGAATGGCAGTTTGGCTTGGGAAAGAAGGAACACTTTCATTTTTGTAGTACTATGGGGAAGAGGCCTTTGGGTAGCCAGAGGGCAACACCAAAACTGTTGTGGCCTCTCCCATTGCAGAGCACAGGCTCCGGACGCGCAGGCTCAGCGGCCATGGCTCACGGGCCCAGCCGCTCCGCGGCATGTGGGATCTTCCCGGAACGGGGCACAAACCCGTGTCCCCTGCATCGGCAGGCGGACTCTCAACCACTGCGCCACCAGGGAAGCCCCAGGACTCACACTTTTGAGGATGATGGATATGTTCATTATTTTGATTGGGGTTACAATTTCACAGGTGCATACATAGGTCAAAACCCATGAAACTGTACATATTATGCGCAGTTTACTATATCTCAATTATACTTCAGAAAAGCTGTGTTTTTTTTTTTTAAAAAAAAAAAGGAGGGATAAGAGGGAGCCAACCATACCCTGTGGTTTGGGTCTAAAAGTGTGCCACTGAAAATCACCTTGTGGTACTACCTCTGGCAGGCAGGCAACAGAGTTAACACTAGGATACCTGAGGTTTTATTTTTAACAAACCCCAGTCTCCTCCTGCTTCCTCCACAGTCTAGTCTGTTTCTTCAACTCTAGGCATACTTGTCATCAGAAATATTGACTATCAAACAGAAGACGTTATAAAAATTAGGTCATTTAAGAAATGTAATAGAAACTGCTGACAAATGAACCTCAAAGGCCTACATATAACTTAAGCAAACAAAAAAATTATAAACCTAGAATTAGGAAATTACAGCAACATAGGCCAAGAGCTTTAGAGCTGCTGACCTCAAAAGCAGTCACCATATGGAGCTGGCTGGGCTGCTGAAGTGATATCAAGGGTCCATATAGTCTTCTGTTATTTAATTTAATCAGGTATTATGTACTATAAGTAATATCCAAAGAATCACAGGCAACAGAATATTAATTTTAGAATATTAATTGTAATATGTATAGGGAATATGAATTTTAGACTTCTAATTCAGTATTCAATCCAGAGTAAAAATTATGTTTCTCATTTCTATGGGCTATCAACCAGGTAAACCACAAGTTATTAAAGACAGTCAAACTAAAATTCATAAATTGATAGTAAAGTTTACTTAAATTAATAAAAGAATGTAAGAGCTATATTCATGTATGCAAAATTACCTCAGTTTGTTCAAACACAGTCAGTGGGTCACTGATTCCCCTGTAGTTAAAGGCAAAGTAGAAATAGATACATGCACCTGCATCATAAGTCTGAGTCACCCTAAAAAACAAACAGACAAAATCCCCCACAAGGCTTTAAGTGAAATCAGATTTAACATCTAGAAACTTAAAGACAAGATTGTTTGAATGATTTGCTTAAGCCATAATCTCATTCTCTACCCACCCTCTTACTCCGTGGATGGAAAATAGATTTGCTGGATAAAGGATATCTAAGAACTACTTGTACTATTTTTATAACTTTTTTGGTAAGTCTGGACTATTACCCCAAAAACTTTTTTTAATTTTAAGATAATGTAAATATTTCTCCAACTGGCCTGAAATAAACAAAATTCCACTTCCTCAGAAGGGATTTTTTTTTTTTCTTTTTTAACAAAGTATACTGCAGTTATAGACAGCTCCAAAACAGACTACCTGGAACTTGATGATCCATTTTAAGTCTTCTAAGCTTCCTCAAAGTTAACAGAAATACATACGAGAACTTAAAACACGAAAACAAGAAAAATGTTCAAATACCCAAAATGATCAGACTGGGTAAAACACAGCACCTTCACCAAGTTCACATTATTAGTAACAACTTTGAAAACAAACTGAATGATATGGCCTTAAGAGAGTATCTCTGAAGGTTTTACACTCTAGGTCCCATATGTGTGCATGTTGTATATGTATTTACAAAAGGTATCAAGAATGTTAGATTAATAAATCATATACATGATATATATCTGGTCTTTCAAAATGTAATTAGGTGAAGCATTTAAAAGGGAGCCAAGGTAATCACAGTCAAATCTCTGAATGCAATTTACAAAGGTTCCCACAAAGAATTTAACAGAAAGAGCAAATACAGAGGAAATACTTTTTTTTACTACACAATACAAACAGAATCTAATCCAAAATTTTAATGGCCTTTTAGGCCAAATGTTAGGTGCCTCAGAACAGAAGAAATGAACTGTTTAACAATGCTACTGTCAATGTGCCAGCTGTGTTTTTCTTCTAGTGTTAATTCACCCATAAAAAAGATCCCTTGAATGTTTACAAATTAACTACCAGATTTACAAAGTTTAAGAAAAATTGGAAAACCATGTTAACTGCAAGGGCACTATCACTATGAATAACCAAATTTAAATAAATTTAAAGGATACATGAATGAAATGAGTTTACAGCAATTAGTAAAATATACATTACTCATATGAGAATCATTAATATCAATAAATAGAAAATATAACTAAATATTAATAGAACATTGCCACCTTCCAACAAATCCAGGAGCTATATTACACAATTCAGTTTTCAGTAGATAAGGAGGCTTCTAAAATTACAACAAAGCTTGAGTGATCAGTATCTCAAACAAAGTAGAAATAACATTTTTTGGAAAACCTTAATCTGGGGCCATTTCAGAAAGTGACAGAACTAATACCTTTTAATAGATCAATTCTATCATTTAAGACACTTAAACACTAATGGCTTCCAAAATCATCTGGACAAGAGAAAGTGTGGCTGCCAAAGTCATTATATTATTCTTTAATTTCTAAAAAATTTTTGTGCTATATACTTTTTGGAGTACTGTACTTATGTTAGACTCACTGGCTAGGAAGTCCTTCCCACAAAACTTCCTCAGAAAATTTAGGGTTAGAATTCCTATTCCAATATACAAAGTACCTTTTAAAAGACAGAAATGAAATAAATTAACTTAATAAATGCATCCTACAGCTGAATTTTTTTCCTTGGCATCTCTGATTTCAATGAGATCTGTAACTATTTTAAATTAATTTCAGAATAGCTTTTTAAAAAAAAACTGGTTTAAAAATTACATCTCACACATTCAACATTTATACTCAGCACAGAATAATCTCCTTAGCCACTGTTAATCAGCTCAAATCAAACTAAAGCAAAATCAAACTACAGTTAAGCGTTAATCAAGTATATGCTATAAAAACTATATTTAAAACTCCTATTGGGCTTCCCTGGTGGCGCAGTGGTTGAGAGTCCGCCTGCCAATGCAGGGGATATGGGTTCGTGCCCCGGTCCGGGAGGATCCCACATGCCGTGGAGTGGCTGGGCCCGTGAGCCATGGCCGCTGGGCCTGTGCGTCCGGAGCCTGTGCTCCGCAATGGGAGAGGCCACAACAGTGAGAGGCCCACGTACCGCAAAAACAAACAAACAAACAAACAAAAAACTCCTATTTAGCAAAATCATTCAATTAACTTAGACTTTGCACATTCTAAACTTTGGTTTTATAAGATGATCACAGAAGCTGAGCGTTAGGCTTTTATCAGAAAATCCTTCTTAAAAAAACAGCTATGTAATAAATGACATATCAATTCAGAATATGTATACCAATTCTATCTACCTGCAATACAATACATAATGAAGATCCTTAGGCCTTATAAGTAAGTACCTTCTAAAGAACCAAGACGTAAAGTACTGTTACAGAAGGTGTCCTAAGGCAGAATATTTTACTTCTCAATAACTTTCAGTAAGTAGTGGTTTATTACAATAGTATTTTCATAATGAAGGGGAAGAAGAAGGGATGCTGAATAGAGAAGTAGGGCAGAAGGAAGACAGGATAATATCTGTTAAGTTGTCACTTGACAAAGCAAAAGAATAAAAAATCCTCAACTACACAGAAATAGATTCTATTACTTGAAATGTTTCAGATTTTACTATTAACAAATGACTTCTGGATTATTGGGCCTATTTGTTTTCAGTTTATAATAATAAGAGGCTTGACAGACCAGACTGTCAAGAGAAGAACTAAGTATCAACTTAGGTGATAATATAAATAAATACACTTTTTTTTTCTTGCGGTTTAAGAACTTTAAGATAAAAGGTTCATTTTAAAAGATATGTCCAAATTAAAAAAAAAAAAAAGAAACAGGTACATTTTTACTCCTTTAATTTAGAAAGCTTCTCTCCAAGATCAGTCACTAAGCTACCAGTAGCGTTACCATGTTATACGTTTTTTATTAAACAGAACAAGGCCCCTTTTTCCCCTCCTTCAGATATATCGAATGCCCAGCTGATAATCTCTAAAATCCACATTTTAAGCCTTTACATTCTACCCCAAATATACTTGTTCTAAAAGATGTTAATACACACACTTGACCTAGTACTTCCTAAAATGTTCTTCAAACCATGTCTCTCCCACAAAGAAGCATAAAAGACTATTTCAAGGATATTCTTCTGATTGACGTGAACAGTTACGGTATACGAAAGATGTTTTCCTTACATTTCATGTAAGGATTTTGTTGTCGTACCCAGCAAAAGCACAATCTAACATTCACAGAAAGATAGACAAGACGAAAAGGCAGAGGGCTATGTACCAGATGAAGGAACACGATAAAACCCCAGAAAAACAACTGAATGAAGTGGAGATAGGCAACCTTCCAGAAAAAGACTTCAGAATAATGATAGTGAAGATGAACCAGGACCTGGGAAAAAGAATGGAGACAAAGATCGAGAAGATGCAAGAAATGTTTAACACAGACCAAGAAGAATTAAAGAACAAACAAACAGAGATGAACAATACAATAAGTGAAATGAAAACTACACTAGAAGGAATCAATAGCAGAAAAACTGAGGCAGAAGAACAGATAAGTGACCTGGAAGACAGAATGGTGGAAATCACTGCTGCGGAACAGAATAAAGAAAAAAGAACGAAAAGATATGAAGACAGCCTAAGAGACCTCTGGGACAACATTAATCACAACAACATTTGCATTATAGGGGTCCCAGAAGGAGAAGAGAGAGAGAAAGGACCAATAAAATACTTGAAGAGATTATAGTCGAAAACATCCCTAACATGGGAAAGGAAATAGCCACCAAGGTCCAGGAAGCGCAGAGAGTCCCATACAGAACAAAACCAAGGAGAAACTCACCGAGAAAAATAGTAATCAAATTGGCAAAAATTAAAGACAAAGAAAAGTTATTGAAAGCAGCAAGGGAAAAACGACAAATAACATACAAGGGAACTCCCATAAGGTTAACAAATGATTTCTCAGCAGAAACTCTAAAAGCCAGAAGGGAGTAGCATGATATACTTAAAGTGATGAAAGGGAAGAACCTACAACGAATATTACTTTACCGGCAAGGATCTCATTCAGATTCGATGGAGAAATCAAAAGCTTTACAGACAAGCAAAAGCTAAGAGAATTCAGCACCACCAAACAAGCTCTACAACAAATGCTAAAGGAACTTCTCTAAGCGGGAAACACAAGAGAATAAAAGGAACTACAAAAACAAACCCAAAACAATTAAGAATATGGTGACAGGAACATACATATCGATAATTACCTTAAACGTAAATGGATTAAATGCTCCAACCAAAAGACACAGGCTTGCTGAAAGGATACAAAAATAAGACCCATCTATATGCTGTCTACAAGAGACCCACTTCAGACCTAGAGACACATACAGACTGAAAGTGAGGGGATGGAAAAAGATATTCCATGCAAATGGAAATCAAAAGAAAGCTGGAGTAGCAATACTCATATCAGATAAAATAGACTTTAAAATAAAGAATGTTACAAGAGACAAGGAAGGACACTACATAATGATCAAGGGATCAATCCAAGAAGAAGATATAACAATTATAAATATATATGCACCCAACATAGGAGCATCTCAATACATAAGGCAACTGCTAACAGCTCTAAAAGAGGAAATCAACAGTAACACAATAATAGTGGGGGACTTTAACACCTCACTTACACCAATGGACAGATCATCCAAAATGAAAATAAATAAGGAAACAGAAGCTTTAAATGACACAATAGACCAGATAGATTTAATTGATATTTATAGGACATTCCATACCAAAACCGCAGATTACACTTTCTTCTCAAGTGCGCACAGAACATTCTCCAGGATAGATCACACCTTGTGACACAAATCAAGCCTCAGTAAATTTAAGAAAATTGAAATCATATCAAGCATGTTTGCTGACAACAACGCTATGAGATTAGATATCAATTACAGGGAAAAAAACATAAAAAACACAAAACAAATGGAGGCTAAACTATACATTACTAAATAACCAAGAGATCA